TAGTAGGTGCTTCCACTGTCAAAAATTAAGAAACAAACATTTAGAAAAACTATACTTAACCCAAGCCTAGCTGTAATATTAAAAGGGTGTGTGTGTATATATATATATATAAACACACACGTAGGTATGGATATTGAGGTTCAGAGGAGTCTGGATCTTACAAGTCTAGGAAACCGGATTTCTGAAGTTGTATTATTTTGTCTCATACTGAAAACAGGAAAAGCTCATTTAAGGTTGAAAACTGAGGGAGAGTTTAAGGTACAATTGAGATTGAGGAAGCGTATAAATTTAAAAAAGCTAGCGAGAAGAAAGAAGGTATCCAAACTCCCATATTGCCAGACTATAGTCTGAGGAGGCAAAGCGTGTGAAGGTCAGTCCAGCTCGGAGTTACGGAGATAGAGGTCTGAGCTCAGTGGGGGAAAAGGCAGAGACAGAGAAACGCTGCAGTCAGAAGAGAGAGGGAGGAAGGAAGAAACACCCTGAGGGTGGTGAGGCACTGGGACAGGCTGCCCAGGGAGGCTGTGGATGCTCCATCGCTGGAAGTGTCCAAGGCCAGGCGGGATGGAGCACTGAGCAACCTGATCTAGTGGGAGATGTCCCTGCCATGGCAGGGGGCTTGGAACTAGATCATCTTTGAGGTCCCTTCCAACCCAAATCATTCCACGATTCTAAGACACTCAGGCAATAGGGTGGTGCAAAGAGGCTGCTCCGTGTGTCATGCAAGCCATCTGAAAGACAAGGCGAACTCTTTCTTAAATCTTATCTGGAGCTGCATTTTTCTTGCTTCATGTTGGCTTGCAGATAATTTGGCCACTTTTCCCAAGCATTACTGTTGAATATTTAACTCTTACCTTGATATACAGTAAGTAACTTTGTTACCATATAAAACTTAAAAATAGAAACTAATGAGTCTCTAAGTGATATGACAGGCAAGGGCACGCCTCTTGAGAGCAGCAAGGTGTTTTAGCAGGATAAAGTAACATTCCTCTCAACATGCCTTTTTCCTAGTATGGATTGTGGGATTTAGAGCATATTCTTTACAATCGGTCCTGTTCCAATCACCCCAGCAAAGATCAGTACACAATCACTGCTACTGAGCTAGTGCGCTGGCAACAGCGCATGGGAATGGTTAAAGACTTCGAGCTTCACATAGCCACAACCAGCCACCATATTTCCAAATAAAAAATATTCACCCTCCAAATCTGGCCTTCCTGAAAATTATTCTTGTCTAGGTAATGGGATACTTTGCAAATCAGTTGGACCAAATTAATCAGGTAGATTGTATCTGCTTAACTCTGCCGAGTGGTGCTACACAGGTATATACTAAATGAAGATGTCAGCTAACAATTTTACATTACTTAGTAAAACCAGACCTAAAATCCATTTAGAACTTGTGGCAAATGTGGAATACATCTGTACTTCCTGGGAATACATCTGTACTTCCTGACTTTCACTTTGATGCAAAGTGAAAAGTTTTTTCCTGAATATATACATCCTTTTAATATAATATCATTTCAATATAATATTGTTTCTGACAAGCTGAATCATTATGCTGAACCCTGGCATATGCTGCACCACCATCACTGTCTGATCACACACCTCCTTACATCATTCTTATAGATCATGTTTGTACATTATCATCTCTTTCCAGCTTTGAAGTTCCATCATCCTTGTCAAGATCTGGAAGTGCAGCTCAGGACACGGTAGTGCCCACAAACCGATAGTGGGTAAGTGCCATCTTAATGTGTCACATAGCAATACATTTTAATATTCGGTCATTTAAGTTCAGTACATAAAACTCAAAATACACATAAATTTTCATGTAAACCTCTAAAAAAGAAAAGTGTTTATTGTGCTTCTAAAGTGGAACCAAATATTTAAGAAAAGGTTATTTAAGAGTGATCTTGACACTTCAGTGCTACATGCTTTACAATGTTCATTGTTGGTATTGTAAGTCAGGGAGTCTGATGTGACCAACATGACTCAGAACAATTTTTTTTTTTTTTAAGAATGGATGCTTTAACTATGAAGTTTGTAATTATGTAGCCAGTAAATGACCTGACTGTCACATGCTGGTTACCCAACAGTATATCTAGTCTGCTTTAGAGATTCATTCCATTAAAGGCAACCCAGACTGGAGCCAAATCTTAAGGTCCCTTAGTGAGGGGACACACATAGGATGCCCTCGGGCATGGCAGCCATCTCATAAGCTCTGTCAACATCTTCTCTGAAGGGCTTTTTAACACTCACCCTGCACCCTGTCTTTGTCTGTATCATCATCCAATGTACTCCCATGAGATGGTTTCAGGTAATGTATCAGTTATCTCAGAACAAACTGAAAGGAGTCGAGAAACCTCTGCCAGGGGACAGATCCTGAAATCTGATCAACAGCTGTACCAGGCCGTTTAGTTCGAGAGCTGCTTGAGGGGCCCCTGAAGCCCATCTGTACACTTCATTAGGCATCCTGATGAGACAAAGTGGAAAAGATGGTGTAAGACCTGAGTTATCGTGGTGCTTCTCCCTGTCATTCCAAACAGGCCATGGTCACAATGACTCCAACCATTCTTTAGGAGATCCTAGAGGTGGTTAGGGAACCTAAACCTAGCATAGGGAAGTAACGTACTGCATAGAAACCAGCTGTTCTTGGCGAAGCCAAATATCACACACTAGGTTTTACTATGAGCATCTAACACTTACGTAGCAACTAATAAACAAAAACAGCAGCATAATCTATTACTGACATTGTATAGCAAATACAGTGGTCTGAAGTTATAACTCAGAGTGAATCCTATCAGATTCTCCCTTGTAGTTTTATAAAATCACGACAGAAGCTTCCGTGATAGCAAACGGTCATAAGGTGAGTTCTGTCTCTCACCTGAAAGAGATGAATCACTCTGCTTTTATACAGAGTTAATGTTTATTCACTTCCTAGCCAGTCATCAATGATACACGTTACTTTGCAGCTAGGGGCTAAGTTCACAGGTAGGAACTACAAGCCCTGGAAGGTGCTTCCAGCCAACATTTTAGCCCTACTGACACTCACAGTTCTGCAGCTTGTTAGCTGCTTGCTGTCCTATGAACCTGAAACTTTCAGGACCCTAAATATTTGCTCATAAAATCCCATAGGTACTTCTGTTTCTGCTACTGGGCACACACTTGGTAAGGAATGAATCAAGCTTGCCCAACATCAGGGCGTTTGTGATGAAGACAGCTTTTGTGACATACTAGTTTACTGAACTTCTGACTCTCTTTCAAATCCAAATAAGCTAGTAGTTCTAGCCATCAATCCTACGAATAATTTGGATAGTTTCAAAGATGCTGAGAAATAAAGAAAATCTGACTGAATCTAATGAAAACACTTTTGATTTTTTTATTAGGATCACTGTATTTAATTCGAAACCTCTTGAATGAGAAATTCCAGACTGGTGTTAGAAATACTCTTTGCAGTAAAGATAATGATACTTAAATTGATACTTAAATTGATACTTATAAGCCTGGATTAGAGGTCAATTACATTTCTAAATCCAGTTTCTTGTTATCTTTAAAGTGTGTATTTGGAATTGTTCATGATTTTGTAAAGACTATTTTCTGTGCAGCATACAGAGTGATAATGTAAAAGCTGAAAAGAGTTAGAAAGTAGTAAGTTAGAGTAAAGAAAAAATATATACAGATTTCAGAATTAAGAATAGGTACAAAGCTTACTCTAAATTTCAGTGCACCCAACTTAACCTCTCAGAATTCTGCAAGCTATGGGCAACATTTTAGACAGACAGCCTAAGGTGAGAGTGTAATTTCCGTCAAAGCATATCACTGATCTTTCTTCAAGTTAATTGAGGAGTGAGTTGCTCAGAGGTGTGAATTTTCACAGTAAAGAGTTTCACTTGCATTCCTCTGCACTGTGAGAGTGACACTTTGTACTACCCTAGTTATAGTACAAAGACTGTGGACCTTTAACAGAAAAGTTAACTTTTGCTGGAAGACTGTAACATCTCAGTGTACATTAATTTACTGGCCTCTTTTAAAAAGCAGCACAGCTTATGTCATATTTATTACTTCTTATGAGTGACATCCAGAATGTCTTCTTCGGAATTGAAGAACTTGGAGGTTGGTAATTTGGTTACTTGAAGGATAGTTCAGTTTCTTTACTTTAAAGTGACCAAGGTTAATATCATAAGTGGTCAAGTAATTATTTTATCCTGAGATTTTATTTTTTCCTAATAGTGATATAATAAACCCTTTTGAGTTATTCGGTAGTTCACGCTGAGCGAAAAGCTTTGTGGGAACTTCGACTGTAATCCAGTAAAAAGATATCTTAAATCTGAAAAAAATGTAAAAAGAGTCAGGTATTGGTTTTAATTAGGATAATTATCTCTGTTCCTCCAGATTGTATGACAAGTGACCTAAACATCTCTAAGTCTGATTTCCCAGGGGAAGAATAGGCATGGGAGTGTTCATTTCTACATAACTAATATTTGAGAAGTATTTGTGGCATGTATTAAAATGACATTTTCTGAGTGCAGTTTTCTCTTTACCATAACATTGCACTGCTAATTGTCTAAACTCATTTTGAACAGAAGAGTAGTATTATAGATTATAGCTTAGTAGTTTAATCCACTTGTGCTTTTGCAATTTTAAAGTTACAATGAATTTCAGAAAAGTGAACAAGTCTAGGAAATAAATACTGCTCAGGGTGGATAGAAATGTTTCTTACATTACAAGTCATCAAAACTTTGCATTTTTATCCCGAATGTTAGTGTATATCTCTGGCTAGTTTACTGAAAGATTCGGTTTGCATTTAGTTATAAAAGGTCAGTGGAATAACCTTTTGACTTTGATATGCCTTATGAGTTATAACGTGGAATTTCACTGTGATAATAACTCTGCTAGAGCATGAGGAGGAAACTTCAGTTAGGTTCTCCAGCAAATTAAAACTTAAAATGTCAAAAAAAAAAGTGCTTTGTGTTTAAATTTATCATTGTCTTCCTGTTAAGACTGAAGAGATGCTTTTGGGAGGAGGCTTGAAATCTCTCCTGCCACATGTGCTAAGAAGAATAATTCGAAGCAACAGACTCAGTTTCAGTAATACTTCTGGAATGGCAGAGGGTAAGTAAACCTAATAGCTCTACGTGCCAAAGCGACTCCGTTTTAGAGTCATGGCTATGTGTTTTCTTTTTTTTTTATTTGTGAAGGAATGTAGCGATATCAAAAGCACCGAAGTAAAACTGAGGAAGATGTTGACTTCTGCTCCTAAGTCACTTGGACGTTTTTGAAATCACATAGTAAGCACCTGACACTCTGTTATTAAATCATAAAGCTGCGTCAGAGAAAAATCTATTATCCTCCCTGTGTAAAGTACATGAACTTTGTTTCCGATGTTCGTGGTGCATCCCTCAGCTCCCAGTTATGTTACTGAGAAATTACACGTGCAGAAAACATTGGAAAAAATTTTAACCGCCTCTGTCTTTTCTGGCATATGTTGTTATCACATTTGTGGGGTGAAGTAACCATGTTCTTCACAGAGCCCTTGCTTTACTTGGTGCATTAGATACACTTTGGGGAAGAATTGGAGACATACAATTACAGAAGTGGTTTTCTGCTTCATTTGTTGCAGCAGTTGAAAATTACTGACTCAGCAAGACTGGGAATTATAAGGGGGAGGAGGAAAATAGTTTTATACTCAGATAACCAAATGCGTTCTGGGAAACTGACTTCTGTCTTGCCTCTCATAGCTCACTTTTACAGAAGCCGAGAAGTTTATGTCCTTGTATTGATCAACTTTAAAATGTAACTTAACGTAACTAAAAACGCTGTGGCAGGCAGCTGATTAACAGAGCTCTAAGTAGTAGCATTACTATAACATAGAAACAGTAAGGGTCATTTTGCAGAGTCATAGTGAGTCTTGAAATTATGGTGGGGTTTCTTCCATCAATACGTAAGTTGAAAAATACTAATGGAAGACAAGTTGTAATATTAATAGTTGCCCTAGCTCTATTTTAAAGTACAATTACTGCTGCAGTAGTTTCAAATGTGTTAGTTTTAATGTTTGGATAAAAGTACTGTTTACATACAAAACAATCACAGAGCCATGAGCATACAGCTCCATTTTCTGAAGACTAAACAAAACTAAAGAAATTAGAATTTCTCAGAATCCTTAGAATTGTCTTATGTTGTTGGGTGCTATACAAGTAAAATAATTATTTCTTACTGCCCTCTTTATCATTCACCAAAGAAATAAAAAGCTTTTTTTAAACTTTTCTGAATTGAGAGATAACTATGTTTAATTAATACATGCGTTGATCAGCATGTCCAGCTTCACTGTCATCGCTTGTGAATATATTCATAATGATGGATACATAATGCAGGAATATACGTAAGAAGATATGGGAAGGGAAAAATACATTTGCATGATAAAGAAAGTAAGGATAGTTATCAGGAAGAGCAATAAAGTCTCAGATTTATAACGAAGCTTTCTGAATTTATAGAATACCTGAAAGTTACCTGCAGATTCAGTCTATCAGCTGTGACTAGTATTTTAAATTCAGTGTTGTCCGAGCTGAATGCACTAACTAAATCCATCATTTTAAGAATTTATGAATATTGCCAGCAAAGTAGAAAGTGTCTGTAGATTTCACGTAGACAGCAGGGAAAGAAGTTGAGGGGTAACTGAATGTAGTGTTTTATTCAGTGGTGAATTTAGTATGTTTATTTAACAAAAATGTATTTCTGTATTTAGCAAGAAACCGTTTTCTGTATTTAGCAAGAAACCGTTTCTGTATTTAGTAACTTTTGCTAGTAATAAAATGAATTTTTGTACTGAGTACTCCCAAGAGAGCAGTTTGTGGGCACATTCTGTATGCTAATACATGCTTACCTCAGCCTTTGCTTTGCATTTTTCCATCAGGAATAGAATTTTATCTTTTGGTTTCTATGTTAGCTTTGGTCAAGAGTTAAGATTTGGCTGATTTTCTATGGGCTTTTAAGGCAGATCATTGGGCTCAACTAAATGACTGCCTCTTGGATGACAGACTACCACAGGTTTTAAGGAAGTGGGAGTTTTTATGAAGCCTCTTACTTGCCTGTCTGATACCAGACATGGCAATAACTTTTCAAGACAGTATCTATATAGTAATTAGAGAATGTTAATCAGTGATTTTATAAACCACAGACTAATTGTACTCCAGATTTCCTCTCTGTGTTTCAACAGCTGGTATTTACATGCAAGAAATTTAAAAAGCCATTGGTATTAAATACTACTGTATAGAAATACACTTCTGCTAAGTACGTGAATGTGAGCTTTCTTCACTGATACTCATTGCAAAAATGTTAATGTCTTCAGAAGCTATCACACGGTCATAGTCAACAACCTTTTAAATCTAAGTTGATTGCAAATGAAGAAACTGTAGCACTTCTGCTCATTTTAGTTTTTTTAATCAGAAATAGTTGAAATGACTGAGATTCAGCATGACAGGCAAGAGTTTATTCCTGAGCTGGCAAGAGTTTATTCCTGAGCTGTCTGTTAAAGTGCAGCCCACAATAAAGTCCCATAGCCAACAGACTCTGAAGAGTGGGCTACTTAATGTCAAGATACCAGGAGTTTACTGGCCATGATTTATAGCTTGGTAGCCAATGAAGAAAAGTGGTGGAAGCATGGCATGCAACAGAGGAGCATTTGAAAAGCAAAGCATTTTCCTATAGAATATTAATATCCAAGGTTAGGTAATAAATTATGCTTATATATAAACTCATAGAATTGTTTATTAAAGTATTTATATGGTCTTCATGTTCTAGTACTACCCATGTCTGTCAACTATTTTAGCATGAACAACTGCACATACAGAGTATACCTCGCTATGATTTTAAAAACATTTCCAAAAGTCATTAAATTAATTATGGAGCTCCAAAGAAAAAATTTCCTTCAGGTAATTTTTTATATACCATCTACTGAAACCTAGACAGAAAAATTATTGTTTCACAAACCAAAAGCTGACTTAATAACCAGTCATTCTCACTTTCCACAATTTCAGGCTATAAACAGGCCAACGTTGTGATTTTGCACAAATCCCTGGCTGACGACTTCGAGAAGTTTTGCCGCGCAAATGAGGGACCCCTGCCAGTGCTCTACAGAAGCAAACCAGGTGACTGGAAGTGTCCTTCTCTGAGTAGCGACTCTGATATCAGGTAACTACAGACCAGCTCTGCTTGACGAAGTTCTGCAGTGAGTGCTGGTGGCCATTAGGAGGGTTTTGGGAAACAGCCTCCTCGCACTGTTGTACACTCTGAACACGTTTGTCTTCTTCCAGTTATACCTCGGAATGGAAACTGTGCACAAGTGTAACAGTCTGATCATCCTGTTCTTGAGAAACACATTAAGATAATTTTCAGTATTATGAATATTTCTCCAATGCAAAAGTGAAATTTTGTGGAATTTCTTAATATTTTGATGTCTGGTCAAGCAGAACTAAATAACAGAGTTTTACCTTGGTTTTATTTAGTAGTTACACAGGCCTGCTGACCACATGGTATTTCTGGAGTCCCTGAAATTTGAAAAATGTAATCCTGTAGTAACCTTTAAAAGCAAGACTTACAAGAGTTCCCTAATTTTTTAAGCCCTGTGACAAGGTGTGTATAAGGGACATTACCTGTAACAGCTAAGAAATACCAGACTCTAAAATGTTCCGTTTAGTGGCTTGTTTTGGTGCAGAACAAGATGTTCTGGGGGTTTTGCATGTTTATTTTGTTGTTACTCAGAAAGAAAAGAAATTGATAAAGTAGGCTGTATCTTGTGGTTTGATACTGGGTTAACGTCAATTCAAATAATTCACCTTGTATACAAAAAAGCTGTGATAATTTCTTCTTTCACTAGAACTGACTGCCTGCAGTACAGAATATATGAGCATGGAGCTTGTACTGGATCACTGAAGAGCCTAAAGGAGTATTCTGAACAACTTAAGGACATGGTGACTTTTTATTTAGGCTGCAGCTTCTCTTTTGAAAAAGCAGTCCAGAGTGCTGGCATTCCCATAAGAAATGTAGAGCAAAAGTGTAATGTGAGCATGTATAAGGTAAGTATAAGCATACGCACGTACCTTGGAGTGTTTGTCCACGTGTCTATATCATGTATCTATACCTATTGCTCAAAATCAGAACTTCTTCCTACCTGCACAGCTACTTAAGGCACATGCTAGTGCTGAGTGCACAAAAATACAAGGTGAGACATCCAGCCTCAGTTCAGTTCTTTCCTTAACTTCCTGCAAGGCCAGTCTCCTTTTTTATTAATTTATGGTGGTAACATTTTTCCCTGTGTGCTGTGGCAGCAGTTTCATTTGGATTCTGTTCTGGTTCACCTTCTCTATTTCAGCCAATGACCAGGCACTGTTGTGACCGTGCCTTTATACAAGTCCTGCTCTCCATACCAGCTCCAGTAGGAATGTTTCTTTCGTGAGCCATGACAGTAGCATGTCTTCTGTGCGTATGACAGCCACATTTTGGATTTTTTGTGTGACAGTAAAGCCTTTAAACTGATATTTGCTATGAACCCAGACCTCTGGGACAGATGTTCCCAAAGACTTGAGGTATCTACCATAGCACTGAAAATTATAACTGTGCTCAGAAAGTTGGTAATGCACATTTTAATGTCTTTTTTGCTATGCTTCCTGTCAAAATGAAGGTGCAAATATATCTCATAACATGAGCCTTTTTACCAAGCTTAAAGAAAGCATAAACCAACCACCTATGTATCTGCTTATAACATTTCAAATTAGGAAAAGTTTATAGTTCATAGCACATCATCACTATGAAGAACTGCACAGTGTGTTTCTTTGGTTACAGGTATGATTTTTATTATAAAGATTTTTAATGAACATTTTCTATGCAGCTCTGGTTGTCTACATACCTTGTTTATGTTCAGATATAACTTCGGTATCGGAAGTTTTGTTCTGAAAAGCCTGTCTGCTTGATTTCTGAATAGAAAAGGTGCCTCACCATGCCAGTCAGCAAGGATGATGAATTCCATAGAACCTTTCTAGAGGCACAAAAGATTTTGTACGTGTGGAACTAGCATGCTGCTTGTGTAGCAGTGGGTACTGCCAGAAGCAGGAGTCCCTGACTCTTGTGTGCTTCAGAGCACTTAGAGCTGCCCTGAATTCAAGTCGAGCGGGTGGATTTGTTACTGTGTGATACTATTTATTAGCTTTTCCCCTTTCTGTTCAGGGAGCACATCATTGTTTTCTGACAATATTCAGAATATACTGGTCTTATTACACTGTATGCTGCACGTACCAGAGCAAGAAATGCATAATGTTTAAGATTTTAGTGATCTGTATGAAGAAGGTCAAGGATGGAATGTTTCACTCTTGTACTGCTGGATCATACAAAAAAAAAATTAAAGTATTTGCAATGTATGTGAGTATTGTGGCCTTTCTAAACTCAAGTACAGAACAAAGTTTTAGACTTACTTCTTATAATGCTTTACAAGTATTGTACCGTATTTCTGCTGATATGACATCATTTAAACTACCAGACAGGTGTGCCTTGCTACAGCATTTCTGCCTTTTCCTGCAACTTAGTAGTCACAATGAGACCTATTCCAGAAAGCAAGTTGGAAGCAGTTGTGCAAGCAACATCGGATTTAAAAGCAGCCCATGGAGCACCGGTTCACATCGGTGACCCTGGTCAGTGCTTTTCACTTTTTCACTCTGCATGCACTTTACTGTGTATAAAAATAAAGAGGGAAGTGGTAGAACTGGAATACTTGCACCCGTAAATTTATTGTGCTTTAATCCTTTCCAATGGTTGCAAACTTGAATTGAAAAGAAAAAAAGAAAAAAGAAGGTTTTGAATGATCTGAATAGAGAGATTTCTTGGATGAAAACATAACTGTCTTATGTAGATAAATTAAGTTCTATGGCAGGGGTGGTTTTGTTAAAAATGTTTAATCTCATCTTTCTCTAAGATGTATGCTGTTTCATTTATATGTGAAAACTTTCTTGCTGTCAGAGCTATCAGTGACAGGGTAGCAATGATTGACAGCATGGGGAGAAGTAAGTGTCGATGCATTTTGTATCTCAGTGGATGACTGTTAAAGTAAATACTGCATTATTTTAAAAAATTTGAAAAGATACGTTAAGCACAATGCTTAGGGCAGAATAAATAGAAATATGACCAAAAAATTAAAAGAAAAAAGCACAAACAAGTATAGGCCTATTCTTTCAAGGGAAAAATAAAAGAAAAAAATAAAAAAAAACAAATGAAAAAGCCCAGAGGGGCTGTTTAGAAAAGAACCAAACCAAACAAACACCTGTAAAATGAAGACAGATCACAATTAAAAAATAAATAAATAAAGAATTCTCTTCTGAGAGAAGTTTGTCAATCAGTAGACTCATGGGCTGCATACACAAAAGGATCGCAGTGCTGAGCGTGGAAGGAGATGTCACTGGTTAACAGTGCGCTCCAGCAATGTATTTGGTCTGAGTGATTCAATCTGAGGAACTAGTTATAAATCATTACTTTGAGTAGAACAACAAGCTGATTGGGCAAGCGAGGGTCTCTACTATTTATTAACAGAAAAGAGTAAATTATCATACATACTGATTATATAAATCAGATTCGGAAAAGGCAGTGATATATTAAAGCCTCCGAAGAATTTAAAACCAAGGGAAGAGAGGAAGTGCTTAAAATGACCCAGAATATTACAAGTAGGAGTTAGAATAAAGCAAAAGATAATTTAGCGAAAGCTGGGTAAGAGTGAGCTGTAGTTATCTAAGGCAGAGAGGTAAAAGAGCGGTGGCACATTTCACTAGCTAAAGAACGTAGGAAGCTAAAGCAGTAGAAAACACATTCTAGAAAGAACCCATTTTGCACTGCTGTCATTTATTCTTGTTTGCCAGTGTTATGAATATGATTCTTCTGTTGATTTATAATATCTTGGAAACTCAGCATGCATGTCTAGTTTGCGTTTTGTTGCAGAAATAAAGCAACTACATTTTTACTGATGTAAAAATCAGTTTACTGATACTGATGTAGAAAGAGGGGAAAACAAGTCAGCTCAGGTTCTGGGGACGTGCACTCACAGGCAAGCTAAACATGTCACTTCGGTGGGGCTTCAGAGAGGTTGGGACATCAGAGAGGTTGTGGATGCCCCCTCCCTGGAGATGTTCAAGGCCAGGTTGGGTGAGGCATCGCTGCCCAGGGCGGGAGGGGTTGAGCTGGATGATCTGTAAGGTCCCTTCCAATGTAAGACGTTTTATGACTCCATGACTTGCCACTGTTGGAATCCTAGCTGTGTCTTTGAATGACGTTTGGGGTCCACGCTCCCCACCCCCCAGCTTCACAGTGCTGCTGCTTAATTGGAGTCTCTCATGATTTCATTTTTGATCAATTCCAGGTCTGCTGGGAATACAAGATCTTTCCAAACCAGACTATGGAGACCCAGTTCACCTTCACCCTGGTGACATTCCAGTGTTTTGGGCCTGTGGAGTAACAGCAGTAGAAGCGGTCATTAACTGCAGTATGGACTATGTTTGGAGAATCTTTTAAAATTATCCTTTAGTCTCTTTTTCTGTCTCTTTCTGTGTGTTTGTTGTGTTTTGTTTGGTTGTGGTGGTTTTTTTACTTGGCTGATTAACAGTCTTGATTTTAGTGTGAGCTAAAAAACACCTCAGCCAAACAACAAAAACCTTTGGCAGGACTATTTTCCATTGTGAAATAGAGGTCTGCCTTAAAGGAAGTTCTTACTGAAATTTCATCACTCCTGTTAGAGCATTTTTAAGGCCAAAATCTAAAGCTCTAGCAGCATCAAAACATCTTTTAAGCATTATTAAAATCTAGAAGTTTAAAGGCATTCATTTTTAAGCTCCTTCCTTTTAAATTTTTATTTTGTGTTACACTGCAGTAAAATGATAATAAAGGGGAAAAAAATAAAAAAAAGGCAGCCAGAAATCGTTATAAAACATGTTCAAGAGCTAGCAAATTGTCTCATGAAGAATTTTGAGCTTTTAGGTTTTGTTCTAAAATGAAGTAAATGTGACACACTTTCTATAGATGAAGCTTTGTCCTCTGCATAGAGCTGTTCTGCACTTTATCCAGTCATCTGTAACACACATGAGCACAAAGGGCAAGAAAATGCAACTAATGACAGTATTATGTACTGCTCTAAATCACTAATGTGGGATGAAATCTCATAATTTAGTTCTTACTGAAGAAGATTAATAATCATAGGCAGTAAAACTGGGAGAGCCTTGGGAGGTCATCTGCTTCATCCTTCTCTCCCTGCAGGATCTGCTACATCCATATGGTTCCTTACAGTTGTTTACCTAAACTGCTCTCAACTCCTGCTGTCCATACATACATACATTCAGCACCAGGAGCAGAGACTGCTTTTTCTTTCCTACATACAGTCCCTTTTCTCCAGTCCTAAATCCAAACTGAAAATCCTGCTTTTTCCTGCATTCTCCAGCAGTTCCGTTCATCTTCCTCATGCATTCTTGTTGCTGGGGAAGGAAAGCTAAAAATTTGCTGACCTTTCTACAATCCGTTACCCAAAGCAGCTATCTATGCTGCCTTTGCCTGGAACTGACTTCCACTTTTGTTTATTTATCTGTTTACTGTATTCAAACCAGTTGTCATTAATGCATTCCAGGAATTTTTTTGACAGTTTGTGTGTGCCCCTTTCTTAACTAAGTCATTAAAATTCTGCCATACCACCAGTACCCGTACTTTAGATGAATTTGCTGGCTTCTCAGAAAAAACATTGTCTACTCACATGGTTTGGTGAGGTACATTAAAGCTCAAAAAACATGTTCCCCAACTGCTTTTAAATTACTAGCCATAGACTCCCAGCAGATCTAGCACAGACCAAGCACATATGTACTTGTTAAAGAAATATCTCCTCCCTTTTCATCATCCTAAGAAAGTAAAGTTTTGCTTGTTTAAATATACCAGTTGCGATTTGTCCAACAACACACCAGTTGTGCCACATCAAGTATAATCTAGATCAAGACTTCTGGAATTAGTATAAAGGCAGCAAATATTTTCAGCTTAGGGAGCTACTGTGCTATCAGGTTTAAATAAGCTTATTGTTCACCAGGGTTTTAGGTGCTGCTCCGATTCCCTTTGCTAAGGCTTACTGGTCACCTTTCATCCTGATTCCTGGCCAGCTTACAGGTCTCCTAGCCAGACTGGCAAGACACTGTGCAGAGATGCTCGTCCCCAGCTGCTCCTCGCCAGCAGACAGTAGTTGACATACTTTTGTGACACCACTATCACAAGGGTATTCAGAGGTATAAGAGAGACACTATAGCTTCCAGCAGCATTCTAGAACCAGTTATTCTTACGGAAACACTGTCACCAACACACTGTGCAAACTTAAACCTTAACTTGTTCTTATGTCAGTCCACTAGTTGCTTCATGCCTGTCAAACCCAATTTTCAGACTTGCCAGTTCCTGACAGACTTGCTTGGAGGGCACCAGTGCTCAGTTCCTAAGTTGCCACAAGTTTATACCAAAGAGAATATTGTAGAAAAAACTGATCTCAACTACCTATGCGAGCTTTTAAAAAGTGAAAACATTCAGATGTATGTGCGTACATTTTTCTCAAGGTATATTAATTGCTGCAGTATAACTTAAAATACGGTCTGTTTTTATGGTATAAACATCATCAGACAGGGACTCTGGGTTGTTAAATTAAATAGCTTTCTGCAATTTTATCATTCTGGTATTTCAGCATATATTGCAATAATATATGTAATGGAAGCTTTTTCACGCATTTTAGGAGCTCCATTAGCTTTTACTCATTCTCCTGGCTGTATGTTCGTTACTGACCTAAAGAACGATGATGTCACAGCTGGATCCTCAAGAGAAGTCCCACAAGTCCACTGCATTTCTCATGATCCTCTGCATTACAGCATTGTGTCAGCAGAAGCAGCCCAAAAGATAAGGACTCTAGAGACCCTGATTGGAGTAGATCCAGGTAAAAATGAAAACTCTCTTCCTTTAGGGGATTTGTTATGATGTAGATATGGCCTATCCTGCTTTTTTAGATATTCATGAAGTTCAAGAACACAGTCAGAATCTGAAGGCACTTTTAAGATTTTAAAAATTCTTTGTGGAATACAGTGAGTTAATGTAACTAGGCCTTACATCTTCTGTTACATTACTTTAGAGTCTGGCCAAAAGCATTGGACCTTAGAGGTCACAGAGTATCTGACCATGATCACTGTCTACTCAGTACACAGAAGTGTCAGTGCTTACAGCAGACTAGAGAGTCCACAGGGAACAAAAACTGCTACTAAACAAAACTGAAATTGTTGTGTAAAGTGCAGGGCACCTGAGCACACTAATAACACTTGCACAGGTGTTCTCTGTGGAGTAAGTAGCATGTTTCTTTATAGATATTTACTTCTATTGGGCTCCTACCAGAAAATTCTAGTAGCTGCATGTGCTTTTCAAACATCCCTCTCTGATGGGTGGAACTGCATCAAGCTCTGCTGATATTCGTCACTGATGTGTTGCGTGATGGACCAAAGTGATCTGATTCCCCCAGAGGGTTGAGAGGTAGGGCTGCATGTGTGCCCAAGGAGGATGAGAGGGAAATAAAGGCAAACTGGGTAAATGTGACCATTCCTAAAATACACACTGACTTAGTCCCCTCTGTCTACTGTCTATTTTGATCTCAATTTCCCATAAATTTTCCTGAAATGCTCTGTAGTCAGTGGTGGAAAATATCTTGCGCCTAGCTCTCCCAAGCTCTGGGTTTGGGCTGTGTGCATAAGTTTGGGTCTGTTTATTTTTACTCACGAGGCCTCTCCTTTTCCCACTCTCTGGAGTTCAGCTTGGCACACTGCCATGCTCTGCAGAAACACAGGACCTAACTTACGAGTTAGCTCATTTTACTGCTAAAGGAGAATACAGTGCTTTATCTCAGTTAATATACCCTGCTTCTCAGAGACTAACATTCCCTGCTTCTGTTACTTAAGTTTTGCTCAGAATGTTTTTCTGTGTCAACAATGTATATATTGCCAGATTGTAGGAGGAACTGAGGGAGCAAAGGGGAAATTGAGGACAAAAAAGTGGAAATTGGGGAGCGGGGGGAGGTGAGAAAGACAAACATGTGAGCAGCCTAGAAAACAGCAGTGAGGAGTTACCTCTCACTCTCGGCCCACAAACATTGGCACATTGTGGGTTTCAGGAGTGCTAGCAAATTGAAAGGACTGCGCTGCAAACTTGTGTTTCTGAGTGCCAGGGAAGGGAGAGGGGGTAGGAAGCATTTTAACAATGCAAGACGTACACAGATAACACAGCATTGCCTCCTTAGGGACCGAGCCACGAGAAAAGACATCTGTTATCATTCACCTGTTTCGCAAGGTCAAAAAACATGGTTCTCCACTACATGAGGTGTAAGAAGATCTTATAGAAGTCACCTGGATACCACTTTATTAATCGAGCTTATAAAGTGCCCTGGTAATTTACAGTGTCTCTGAAACCTCACTTCTGTGGTTAATCATTTCATTAAGTGGGATTAATTTGGGAATTAGCTCTCCCCTAAGGGGGAAGAGTTAAATAGAGACAAAGGGCCAGCTTATTCATCTGAAGTCTGCAGCAAAACTTCTGCAAGATCTGGGACGCATGAATTGCAGTCCAGCTTCAGTAGCTAGATGTGGTCTAGCATAACTGTCACCACAGATCAGAGGAAAGCAGAAAAAAAGGAAAGCACCAAAGGAAACGAAACAATATGCAAGAACCTCTCAGAAATACAAAATACCTAGAAATGCAAGGTATAGTAATTTTCAAAGTCCAGTGAACTGAAATTCTTAACCTGGAAGCACAGCCCATTATCTTCATTACTCATATCCCACACCTTCCTAGGTTTCCTGAGGAAATTACCCCAATTCCTGCCTTGACCAGAGGTTTTTCTTTATTTTTTTTTTCCAAATGCATTTTATATCATTAAAGTACACAGCTTCACCCACGCAGAAACTTCAAAACCAGAAGGATATATTGAAGTATACTGCTCTCTTTAATAATACTTTTATAGGCGACCGGGGTATAACTCATCTGCTGCGCCAGGGCGAGCTGCTGAAGGCCTGCCTGGCCATCTCCCATGCTCGGTCAGTGCTGGTAACGACTGGATTTCCTACCCACTTCACTTACGAGCCGCCGGAAGAGAACGACGGGCCCCCAGGAGCCCTCGCTATTGCAGCTGTACTGCAGGCCTTGGAAAAAGAGGTTGCCATAGTAACAGATCAGAGAGCCATGAATCTGAATAAAAAGATTATTGAAGAGGCTGTTCAGCTAGGTAAGGTACACGGTTTTTTTCTTTTTTTATCTTGCCAGTTTGAGCCAAGGTTTGCTTCAGTTAATCTGCTGTCACTTAGTATGGGATTTGGGGTTTTTTTTTCGAGAATGAACCCAAGTTCATCCTTTAAGCTCTGATCAGCATTGCTATGCTGACATTTTGTTAACCCCAGCAGGCATCAAGTTAATGCTTAGGTGTCTAGGTTCTGATTCTGGATTAGCTGTTTGTGATGAGTCCTGGATGTCCTCATTCTTGTGGACCTGTTTTCTATCTCAAGGTCCCAAATGAGTTTAATTAAAAGTAAGGACGCAGGGAGCTTACCAGGAACTGCATAAATATATTGAGTGGTTACTATTCTAATTGTTCTGCTGCCCTTTTTTTTTTTTTTTAAAGTTACTCACACTTAACAAAAAAGCTACACAGTGTCTGAACTATATTTCGGTTTTCTGTAGGAATACTGAAGAAACCTGTCCCTCTACTGAGTTATAAAAGGGAAAATGCTAGTTCAGATTTAATGTTTTTGTGCGAGGATGGGAATCCTGGAAGACCAAGGTATGTGTAGACAGTTTCTGAGTGGGTCACACCTCTACTGTATGAAGCTATAATGAAAATTATAACCATGATCTAAAGAAGATGTAATGGTTACAGGTAAATCCTTAAGACTTAGAATGAACAAACTTTAAAGACAAGCACTGGAATTGGAGCACACACGGAGTACAGAATTGCATGTTTTTATGCATTTCTGCAGTACAAAAAAAGAGAAATGATACTTCATGTATCAATAGCTCTGTTCCACTGAAAAATTTCTAAAAGTCTTTCAGCTATTATTTCACAGGTATATACACACATGCACACAATATATTATTTTATCAATGTTTAAAGTAGTGAAAAAATAGAAAATGGGAAATATTATGTCAGAGTCAGTGAAAGAGCTAGGAAAAGAGTTGTGGAGTGTGTTCTCTCTAAAGAGCTTTGGCTCAAGTCTGACAGCTGGGGAATCTGATCTGATTTATAAAGCGTCATGTGCTTGTCATAGTGTGAAAGTTATTGTCCTATTGTCTTTGGGCAGCAAAAGCAAAAATTGTAGAGGTATGCACACACTTCTCAATATTGATTTGAAATGTTTCCATATGCACTGTTCAGTATACAACACTGAGCAAAAATCCAGTTATACAAAACGTGCGATTAGAGTTGATGCACTGGAGAATTTGCTAAGTAGCTGCATGCACATTTCATTCCTTAGCAGGCAACTTACATTTCCTTTAAGTAGGCATACATTACTCATTTTTATTTATCTTTCCCTGTAAAACATTTTAATGTAGTTGCCTTGTTTGTTCTCTTTCATAAAAAGACCTTTTACCCTTGCATTTGCTCTATTGACTTAATTTCTTTTTCTTCCCACCGCCTAGTGAATGTTATAATTGTATGCATGGTACTGTCTTCATTTTTTAAGTATTGTTTTTAAAATGTGTTTTATAGTTCTGCATAATACAATTACAGCCATTTTCTATTTCAATTGATTGCAGACTCTCAAAAAATTAAGTGGGTTTTTTTAAAATAGACAGCCAACCTGCTTAAGGTCTCTGGAGTCACCTTATATACACCCAACCCACAAAACCATTAAGTAATTCAGCAGAATTAGCAACCTCTTAACAATAAAACTGGAGAAATAGAAACAAAATAACTTAGTTCTAACATACAGCGTTGGAACTAAGTACTAAAATTCTGCTTAAACGTAGGACATCTGCAGTACATCTGTCTACTTTCATAGCTAGCAAAATAACTATAGACTTAAAGAAAAAGCCCCCAAATCTAAAGGTCCACACCAAAAAACTCCTTGACTAGAAACAAATTAACATTTGCCAAACAATGTGCTTTAAGGAGCAACTACATTTGCACTAACAAGGATTTAGGTGACCGTTAATTTGCCGCTTTTTTGTTTTCTTTATAAACACTTACAGAGCCTAATGTCTTACAAGATATTATATATTTTAACAAGAGATAGAGCAAGGCCAGATGGCTGACCCAAAGGATTACCGGTTAGGAGTACCTTAGGAACTTTTCCATTTCTTGGTGGCAAACGTGGTTTGAGGGAGTTGTGCTACAGCTCTAAAGAGACTGGACTAACCTTGAAAATAAGCTGTACAGAACTACATTCAAAAGTAACAACACGTATCCAGGTTTTACCTTGAATCCCAAATGGTAGAACCAAGCACAACCGGAGAAGCCACCAAGAGAAGAATTTGTTATGCAAGAACCACAACTTTGACTCCTCACATCTGTTTTTAATCCTTGTCTGTAACCAGGTTTGATCACCTGATAGCAATAGAGCGTGCTGGGATGGCAGCTGATGGCAATTACTACAATGCCAGGAAAGTTAACATTAAGCATCTCGTGGATCCCATAGATGAGCTATTTATAGCTGCACAAACCATTCCAGGAATCACAACAACAGGTGTGTGGGAGTTTGTGTCACATTCTCAGAAGCAGGGGAAGCGCAGAACGGAGCAGGAGCTCTTACTGGAAGTGAAGGGGAGCAGGAGGCAGGTGTTCGCAAGCTACAGCTCTCGTGGTTGAGTTTAGAGACCATTGTGGGAGAATAATTACAAGATTCTATTGAAGGGTTCTCAGAGCCAAAAGCAAAAAAAAAAAAAAAAAAGAGTTGATTTCAAAGTTACTTAAGGACGATAAGGCAGGCCCAGATGTGTGCGTTATGTATACGTCAGTGTGCACACAGACACTTCGCTAAGTGTAGCTTCAACACTGACTGTGTGTGAAAGGCAGCACAGAAAGTAAATGACCATCAAATGGAAACGTTACTTGTTATTGTATTTTTATTATTAGAGTTTTATTATAGTTATTTTTATGATTGTGACACCTATGTTAAAAGAGCAGTCTGGACAGAATCTTAGTTTATATTGTCCATTACAGTACATTCTCTTAAGCAAGGATTGCATAATTGCATCTACTATAGTAGTGCCTTCTCTAACAAAATACAGTAATAATCTTTAAGGAGTACGTTGTCCTTCTTGCCAAAACTATATTAGCATTGACTAATATGTCTAATAAGAATGCTTTTGCTGGTGTTCCTCTCTTTTGTTGATAGTCCTTCTTGTCCTGAAAACTTAACTGAATCTGGTTTTGAAAACAATATGCCATAGATCAAGGAGTATAAATATTGCACAAGGTCCTTGTACAATCAAATGCTTCTTGCTACATTGTGTGGCCCAAAACAGAGTTGGGAGATACATAATCAGTATAAATGTTAGAAACAAAATTAGAAATGTGTCATAAAATTAGAAATAAGTACCCATGTCACATTGATTTCAGTCACATCGGTACATGTCTGCTGATCTGGCTTTTTTGTCTTCTTGTAGTGCTGTGGACTCACTCCCAAGTATTACCAAAAACACAAGAACATAGACTCCTCAGTACTGATGCTTTTCAAATGTTTCCGTAGAATCTAGAGACCTCCTGCAGAGATAATGCGTAGTCTGTTTTCACTCTCTTGGAATCATTTAAAAGCTGTATAGCAGAAGAACTCACTGATATTTTTTGTATTATATTAAAACTTAGGATATATTTCACTTAGATTTAATTCAAATTTCCTCCTGTTCCTAAGGAGTAACTTTGAACATTCAAAAAGCAGCACTCTAGATGGCACTCTGTTGGCAGTCTCAGCAGAGTAGCCACGGATTGACTGAATGAGGATAGAAAAAGCTGTTTCATAAAGATATTTAGCAAAATGCCTCAGAGCTTTATCTGCTGCACTTAATTTCAGTTCTTGTCTCTGATTTTAGACTGTTGATAAAAGGGCTTGGTCTCTCCAGCTACTTATGCAACATCAAATCCTGATTCCTCTAATAAAAATACCCTAATCTCTTCAAGTATCTCCCAGAGCAGCTCAAAGTATATTATTGACAAGGTGGAGTTAGGAGTGTTCTGCAAGGTGGAATTTGAACCTGCTCAGCAGAATTTAGTTTGGTTTACGCATTCTCTGAATATTCAAATATAGTATGAAATGTCATTAATTGAAAATACCACGGCCTTGTGAATGAGAAGCAGTTATCTGTATTCACTGCGTGCTAGTGCCATGAATTTTCTCTAAAGAGATGTCTGCATAGAAAATGATTTAACAAGTCGTAGGCTTCAAAAGATACTGAAGGTATCTGCTTTGATGCCCCATGGAATTCGTGTACATAGATAATCTATGCTGGAGAACTAATTGAGTATCTATAGAAGAGCAATGTAAGTGTTCCTTACGTTATCTGTTAACCTAGTTAACATTTCTTTTTTATCACGCTAACTTTTGCGTCTGTTTTGCAGTTAGAGTACCATTTCTTGGGATGGGTGTTGGTTTTTTCTGTGGTTTTCTGCAAAGCCTAGCTTAACACGGCACCAATCTGAGCTGTGGCCTTTGCACCTTGTCTCTTGTTACTGATGATAAGGTATTGCTACTGATCAGGATAGGATACATTTTTCCAGTGAGGTTATCTTTGACTTTCTTCGTTTTTTTTCATATGTCCAGTTCCAAAATAAAATGCAAATACTGTACTGCATTAGGGCGGAGTGCTCAGATAACTTTAGAGACTAGAGAAGGGTACTAAAAACATCAAGTTTTCAGCCCCATGGAAGTGTTTATGTAGTGTGCTCAGTGGCAAGAAGTACTGGGTTAGTAAGTATAGAGGGGAAACGTTAGAACATTTGTTACACGCTGATTAATTGCTGTCACGTTTTGCATTTAAAACAAGATCTGTGTTAAAAACAAACAAACAAACACGCCTCATCTAGGAGTCTGACCGCAGACAAACCGTGAACAATGCCTGCAATTGTACGGGTACCACTGTACATAAACAGGCACAGAGGAAGCAGCAAACTTCAGGACTATTCAAAATAAGAAGACACAAAAGGCTGAGGTTGGAAGGACTCATTTTCTGCAAAAGATTGGAATAAAAGATTAAGAGATGTTTCTGAAACCACATGCTATTTTTTTCAGCTGCCATACAACTGACATAGCTCTATGCTATTTATATAGGAGCTAATGAAAAGCTTTCCAAAGTACTGCATGGAAAAATGTGGTTACTTTTGTTTCCCTTTTGTACAAATGACTTTTAGCACAGAAGACTGACGTTTCCTGTAGTTTTCATGAATGCAGCTTCAGAACCCAATGTAGCCAGTGAACACTTGTGTGGAAGATCCAACAGAACTATTTTTCCTCAGCCTGGAAAGCACTCAGGCCTTTAGGAGAGGAGGATTCATCTTCTCTATTTTCAGAAATCTATATTTGAGATGTCTGCCTCAGGATGAGAGGAACCGAATGTTTGAAGGGTGTGTTTCTCTCTGCTCAGTTTAAAAGAAGTCTGGCTGACTGGCTCATGTATAGGTGGCTGCATTTGGCCAGGTGAATCTTACTCTGGAAATTTACAGTGAAATTGAGTCCTCTGCCGAGGTGTAGAGAAAGAAGAAAACAGATGGTGCAGGAAAATTTCCAATGTGGTGTTCTTTTCTTCCCAGTCTAATAGTAGTGGGACCCATCCACAGCAGTAGATCCATGGCCCGCACAACCATCTTGGTGACAGGACTTACATAAAGACAAGAAAATGCAAAACAAGGCTGATACAAAAACTCTGAGCAACTGTTGATGATCTTCAAAGGGCAAGAATTCATTTTGGCCTTTTTAAAGGACCGCAAGAGCAAAATTTTGCGTCTGCGTGTCATGTGGATTCTTGCAGAACAGTAGGAACTAACACGTACATATGACGATAGAGGCACCATGATTATGTCATTATCCATTTGAACAGTACTACCAACAAACAGATTTTGGAAAGCACCATTAAATCCCAACACTGGAATAAATGTGAACAGATTATTAAGGCAGGTAGGAAAAACGATTAACTGTTCCATAGTAAATCCTTTTATGTAAGCTATGTGTCACTCGGTTACGCTCCCCTTGACTATATAAAGAGTTAAATGAAAAATTGTTGCTGAGAAAAAAACTTTAACTTAAAGAACACAGTTGCTACAGATTTGTGTGAGATATTTATGCAGTTACTAAAAGTGTTACATTTATCAATTTTCAGGGCTTGAAGTGTAAATTATAAATACGCAATTTCTCTCCTGTAACACTATGAATTAGAGCATAGTTACATTTCAAATTCAAATTCGATACATTGCAGCGAGGACTTGGAGCTCTTTGCTGCTATGTTGCACAGATATTAACTAGGATTTTTCTGTAAAATCTTTAAACTTGAAAAGATGCCATTTAGACTAACAGGTGAAAGATAAATGTTCATTTCCATTTAAATAGATGGAAACAGTACACAGGGTTGGGCTCTTTCTGTACTGTGGCACAGTATACAAAAGTGACCTGTATTAAACAGATTGCCAGTGCAGTAACTCCTACTTCTGCCAAAGTCCCTATGTATATTTTTGCTTATCTTTCTACAATAATTGCTATTTTTAGTATTTTTTAAAATTAAACCTTTTATCAAACCAAAGGTTTCTATGCTTGCTTTACTACAGAATTGTAGGCTAATTTCTCAGGTGTATTTTGGGTTTGGTTTTTATCTTCTTTCTCAGTCTGTGCTAGGTGTGTGTGATAATGCATTATGTAGAACAGTCATGTGAGGCTTTCCCTAAGCAAAGTTTACCATCTTAATTCTGTCTGCAGTTCATGAGCACTTGATAATTCTGATTTCTTTTGCCTGCACCAGTACAGCACGTATTGCTTATATACCCTTACAGCTTAGCATGCGATGAGTGATGCTTTCAGCTATTTCATTCAGTCTTCTGGTTTTAGACACTTCTGATGAAAACGGGCAAATCATCTCATATAGAACTATGAACTGTCACAGCAACTCTGGGGAAGACACGATATGATTCCTAAATGGATTTTTAGTTATATGCTGGGTTCACACTCATTTGGTCTTCTCTTTTAATAAAGGTGTTGGAGATGGAGGAAATGAATTAGGAATGGGCAAAGTAAAAGAAGCTGTAAAGAAGCACATAAGAAATGGAGATGTTATAGCTTGTGATGTTGAAGCTGATTTTACTATTGTAGCTGGTAAGGGAATTTTTTCAGGGGGGTGGGAGAGCTGTTGATGTTTGAGAATAGACTTGACAAGAAAACATCTGTCTTTCCAACTAATTTGTATTCATCCTTTCTTTGTATAACCAGGCAAACAAATCTGGCTCTATTATGTCCATTTTTTAAATAGTGAAGACACTACAGCATTTGAATGTCTGAAAATTGAGTATGTTCCCCAAGGAAAGTGCATTTAATTGGAAATAATTGGGCAAATCCTGAATATTCTTGAAAAATCTCACCTTAAATGAAATAACAATGAAGACTGCAGAAGTGATCTCTCTGGGAATTAAAATGTCTATGCACATATGAATTTTCAGTGGAACTGATCGGCTTGTGTGGGTGTGACCCTCTCAGGGTCACAGTTGTATTGCTGTTACGTGAAGAGATGATACGTCCTTTCAGCAGCCACTTGACAACAGATGTACATTCTTAATGTACAACAAAAGTTGAACACTATAGTTAAAATCCCATTCTACCCTAGCATCTTAACCAGCATGAAATAAAATTCACAGTGAAAGAGACATGTTCAGCAAAGACCGGGTTTCCCACCTAGGTATTTAACACTCTTGATAGTAAACCAGCACTTTTTGGCGAGAAACAAGAGTGTGGTGATACCTACTTCTTATGGCTGTGTGTGTATATGTGTGGATATTAACTATGTTAGAATGTCTTTTTGTATATGTTACTTACCCTAAGGACACATCATCAAAACAGAGACAACTAGTTTCACCACGGCTTCATATCTGATAAAATAGCTGAACTTTTTAATCATTCATCATTTGTGACCAAAAAGGTGACTCTCTGCAATGGCAGAGCATGCTATTATAAAACCTGACACCACTGAAAATTTGCCTGGTTTAGGATATCGTGTCAAAATCTCCTGCCTCTGCGCATTTAAAAGGAAAAACCCTGGGCTGTAACGAAGCTCCTCACAGTTCAGGGTCTTCATGCTAAGCCAAGTGGAACTGTGTTGTAGACTATGTCCATTTGAGTTTGGGCTTCGTTGGAAAGACAAACCACAAACTAAAGCTAGATGGAAACTTGCAGAAATTCAGCCTGAAATTCTACTGAAAATATTTTAATATGTTAAGCAATTGTGTATTTCTGAAATAAACATTCCAAATTCATGTCCATATTAAATTCATACCCATGTTCTATTTCACCATCGCTACATGAGAGACAGTTGTATGTGCCTAGTAGGCAGGTTAAATATCTTGGCAATAACTGTTGTCGGGGGTTTTTTACAGTGTGGTTTCATGCTGACATTCTCTTGCAGGAGTCTCTAACTGGGGAGGTTATGCCATCGCCTGTGCTCTCTATATTCTCAGCACTTGTGAAACACATGACCGCTACCTGAGGAAAGCTGTTGGGTTGCCACAGTTATCAAAGAAGATGGTCTGGCTATCGGCACTTCCATCCGTTACCAAGGTAATTCCTGTAGGGCCAAGAAGTTGGGACTCGCTTGTAACATGTAGATGGAATTGGCCACCAGCTGCTAAATCGTGCCTGGTCCATTTCAACAGCTTCCCTTCACACGGCCTGGTCATGACTTCCGGGCATCCCTAGTGAACGAGCAGCCACATCATGCTTAGAATATTCTGTAAAGGATTTAAGATAGATTGAACATAAAAATCCTCAAAAATGAATGTATTTTGTGCTGTGATTTCAAGCACAAGACAATTTTATGAGCAGTGCAAGAAATCCTTGCACTGCGATACCGTAATTAAAATTCCCCGTTCACTTAGCATCGTTCATGACTTTATAAATCTCTGTTGTAGCCTCCTTTAGATGTCTCTCTTCAAAAATCAAGTCACAGTTCCAATACAGAAGCCACTCCATACTTCTGATCTTTGCATCTTACTTCTGATCTTTCCACCTTGTCTAGTTATGTTAGAACCTTCCTATAATTAGTTTAAAATGTTTCTAAATTAAAGTTGGAGAGACTTACAGATGAATATTTTAAAATGTGTTTTGACTAATGCAGCTCTGAACAGTGTGATATTCTGGGAATGCAAAACTTTCAGACTGAGAAAAAGTAAAATAACTGAGAGGGGTAAGAAATGACTGTGATCTATGCTCATCCTGCTAAGCACGTGGCTCTATTTTGGACTTGTCAGTGTTTAAAATATATATATATATATA